TGGTGGCCCTCCCGCGGCTCTAGGTGGGCAGCCTTCTGCGGGGATTCCTTCTGATCTGTCTGGGCAGAGAGACTGAGTGGACGCAGTTGTCTGGGTCTCCTGTCTCTTGAGCTGGGAATCTCTCAATGCCCAGAGCTTGGGGCAGGCTGAACCCAGCCATGGCGCCTGGGACTCCCACCTGCAGGCTGCCACTGGGGGCCTGGCCCTGTCTCCCGACGCCTGTCTCCATGGCGCTGGGGATCGTCCTGTCTCACGATCTCCCTCCTCCCAGCACTGGACTCCTTCACAGGAAAGGGAGGGAGAGGGGTTCCCTGGCAGGACATGGCCCAGGCCCCAGATCTGGATGTCCCTGTTGGATGCTGACCTGTGTGTGGTCCACGTCCATAAAGGGAGCGGACACACAGGCCCCGTGGCTTCTGAAGGCAGGCCTCGGGAGACATGGAGGTTGCAGGTTGGCTGCCCAGAGCCACCGCCAGCTTGCTCTTCCCCGACCCAGACTCCCCTAGGGCTGGCCAGCCCCTACCTGGGCCAGACAGGCACCGCTCCCTCCCTGAACAGGTAACCCAGGGCTGAGAGCTGTGGCCTGAGGGTGGCTCGGGGCACAGTGACCTGGACCCCGTCTCGGGTACCAACCCCATATTCCCACTCCACAGGCACGGACCCCAAAGTCGGAGAGAAGCTCCCCAGGGGCCCTTTGCCCAACAGTGAGACCTTAGTCCAAGGAGGGGGCCCAGGCGTCCCCGCGAGGGGCTTGCCTAGCACTAGCCGTCACACCACAAAATCGCAGCGCGGTGTCCGGGGCGGCGCGCGGGCCTCCGTGCGGGTGGGCCCTAGGTACCCGTGTCGGGCAGGAGGAGGGCCGGCAGGACGGTCACTGACGCAGAAACCGAGGAGCGAAGTGTAACAGAACGGCCCCGACAGCCTCTGTCTCCGGCACCGTCGGCCGCGGAGGTGACGACGAGGAGGCCGCAGCCTGCCACACCCAGGCACCCAGTTTCACGGAACGTTTATTTTTATTTGTCGGATGCATGACAAGGAGTCTCCCACCGTTAGTAGGAGTAAAAGGTCGTTTTCACAGTCACTTTGGCACACACTAACGTTGTCTCATAAAAAAACCGGAGAAGCGACGACGGTGGGACCTTATAGGCTGCGTCATTAAATACAAACAAAACACTAACAAGACGTCCCTGATGAACCAAAGTGCATACAGACAGAGCACAAGGCCAGGGCCGTGCCGCACCTTCCCGGAGCCACCGTGCCCCTCGCATCGCCTCGGCCAAAGTTGGGAGTTAACAGTCGTGAGAGTTGGTGTGGGCACCGAGTATGTACATAACAGTAACGAGTGCCGGGAGGGCTGGCGCGGTCCAGGGGGTGCCGCGAGCAGGGCGCGGGGGTGACCGGCGGAGTGCTACACCGGTCACGCCGAGGGCCGGGCCAGTCGCCCTTTGGTGTAAGGCAGCCCCCGAGAGGCTCCAGCAACAGTCAGCGCCGGCGGGCCAGGCCCCGAGGACCACGGACCCGGGCCGCCTGGGCCGGGAAACCGGACCCTGGGCCAAAAGGTGGGTGAGCCGGCCACCTCCCCCTCGACCCGCACTGCCTGCCCGCTGCCTGGCTCACGTCCCCCCTCGGAAGCTGGAGCTAGCCGCCAACTGTTACCTTTCAACTTTAAGGCATCTTCTACATAGTTTTATCTAAGCAAAAAAGCAATAAAAATTGAGGTAATTCTGTAGTTGTTCACACGGGTGGGGGGTCGCATCCACATCAGACAGCCTCTCACTCTCACTCTCTCACCCCGTGGATGGGGTCGTGTGCACACGATGACAAAGGCCATTAGAGCGAACCGACAGAGAAGGAGTGGCGGTGCGTCCCAAGGTCCCCTGCAGGGACACCTTCCCCGCCTCCTCCGCTTGACCCAAACCCCCAAGGGGACAGGGCGCGGGGGGTCAAGGGCTGTGTGAGTTGGACACAAAGGCCACAGGAAGCAGGCCGCAGGC